ATTAGAGGTACCTGGTTAAGGATCAGTTCGCATCCCTTCTTTCCTCCTCAAACAGTCAGGCACTTACAAACAAATACTTTGAGATTTTTTTTTATCTCAACTTACTAATTAATCATCCAATCACTTTTGTATTTGTTACTCATCCATGTTAAATTGATTTGTAATGATCTTTTACTCTATTTTCTGACATTTTATAAATGGATTAGCAATCATTGTTCCAAACTTATGCAAGCTCTTTTTCTTATCATTTTCGTTTTTACTATACTTGAAAAACAAAACAGCAGATTCAAGCTGATAAAACAGAACTTCGGGTTGAGCCCTCCGGTGATATTTGGCGGTGGAAATTAAATGAATTCTAAGTGATAGACTGAGTAAGTCTGACTTTGGAATCCTTGGATGCTCGTATTTATTTTATTAACTTTAATGCTAATGTTTGCATCCATTCCTGTGTTTTTGATTACGAGTTCTGCTGATTCTAAAATACATCAAAAAATACTGTAGAAACATTTGTGAACAATAAAGGTCACTTTACTGCCAGCTGGGGAGGAAAATGCTAAAGGTGACACTGTAAACACATGCGTGCACTTGCACAAGAACGGCGCAAATGGTGCATGAAATCCCAAATGTAGCGCCATATGCACATCTGTCTGTGTTTCTGAACACTTCTTTGAATCCCAAATGATCAGTAGGCCTATTTCACTTATTTCTACAAAATCATGTTAGAGCAATGTGCTTTTTTATTTGATTGATTCAAAATACACAAATAAATACAATACAAAGGACCTGCAAGTTCGCACTAATATTTGCAAGTAAGTAACCCTGTAAAACACGTGTTTCCCACCCGGTGGAGCTTCCCTTTTTCTTCTCCTGCTTTATAACGCGTAAAGTTTCTGCCACCTTATCTCTTTTTAATCGTGTTGTATCTGGAAATTATCTTTTAAAAAATAAATAAATAAAACAGCCAGTTTTAAAGCGTGAAATCAAAGGCATCGATTCACTTCCAACTACCAGCTTCACTGACTTAAAAACAGTTGATCAAAGAGGTGGAAACGTGCATCATGAGGGCCTCTGAAGGCTGAAAATAACAGATAATTCTGCAGGATTATGATTAATGGCTGAGTGGGCGATTGCATTTGATTTTCCTCACGTATTTCATATTAAAGCGAGAAAGCGTCTCCACCTGTTTTTTTCTGCAGCGCGTTGAAAAATCACCAGGTGTGTTTCTGCAGCAGTCGGCTGGATGTTGAGCAAACAAAGCTGATGCACATGTTTGCATCAGCTTTGACTGTGCGCATAAAATCGTCTTTTTTTTCTTTCATTTGCTCCGCCATCTATATTTTAAACTCGGTGGTTTTTTAAATTAAATTATTAAAAGTGGTGTTTTTACACGTGGGCCTCTTGAAAATCCTATTCAACTTATTTCTATAATGTGGGAGCTATTTGTTAAATACGCCAGAAAAGGAGCGCATTCCAACTATGTTTTAATATTCTTACTATCCTATCCTAGAATTAAAAATTCGAACCAGCTTTGTGTATGCTTTTTAGTAATATTCTCTGCTGTGTACCTACAGCACCTATGGATTGTGTGTGTGTGTGTGTGTGTGTGTGTGTGTGTGTGTGTGTGTGTGTGTGTGTGTGTGTACCCTCTGTGATTGCAGGCTGGAGCCTCTGCTAATGACAGATGATGAGTTTTTAGCATTGCTCAGTGAACTGGCCCCGGGGCCATTTGTCACAGGCTGTCCAGAAACAAGCCAAGCATGGAAATGAATTTGTTCATTCACATAAAACAACCCGTGAGAGCCAAAGCCTGCTCAACGTGCACTATAACAACCACTCTCGGTGCGCCTTCATTACGCACGTTTATAAGATAAT